GCCGTGCCGACACTTGCTCCACGCCAACTGCGTGCTCGAGTGGCTCCAAGGGCAGCACACGTGCCCTCTGTGCCGCGCTCCGACCGAGACCATGGAAGGCGTTTACGTCGCGCCGCCGTAGACGAAGACAACTAATCTATTTGATCCACCGATGACAGGTCGCTAGTTGCAGAGCACGGTGGTGGTCGAGGCTCAGCGTATACCTGGGCCGTGGAAGACCACAAAAGCAACCGATACATCGCATGAAAGAAGGGCCAGCGAGAAGAAGTGTGTTCGCGCGCCACCGACACAGCGAGCGGAGTGCAGCCCAGTCCCGCACCCGAGATGCAAAGCCAGCGCTTCGTCACCTATAGCAAGGCCTTCTTGCCCATATTTTCTCGACACTGCCGTTTGACGAAAAAGCCGCCCTGGACACTTTTACCTTGTTGAGATAGCGCCGTGTTATTCCAAGAAGGCCGATGTGCCGATTTACGAGCGAGAGGTCGAAATCAGCACGGGTAGCCCATAGCATTGTACCGCTCCTCGTACTTGTCGCTCCACCGCGCGGGACTTGACCATCGTAGCAACGGTGTGCGACGCCAATCCATACCCATGCGCACCGCCCAATCTGCAATAGCTTGCGCGGCTCAAATGCATTCAAGACAGCAAGGTTACTGTATCAGAGAACGGCGTGGGAGGCCCGGTGGGGCAGCGCGGCGGGCGCCGAGAGCCGTGGCGCATGGCTCCGCCGTGGACTACTGCACATCATGGCCACTTCGCTGGCCGCGCGAATGCTCCGCGACTCGACGTTGGCGCAGTCGAGGAACTTGCCAAGTAGCGGCTGGAGCACGCTGAGGAGAAAGGTCGGGTTCGCAACGCGCGAGGCGTCGTCGTGGAGGGCCACGAGCGACGCGACAAAGCGCCCGAGCTGGCCGCGCGCCCATGGCAGCCACTCGACGCTAGGAAATGGCAGTGTCAACACGTGCCGAAGGCGGCGCGGCCAGTTCGACTCGTGGCTGTTGCTGCTGACCTCGCTGTTGTAGAGTGTTCGGAGCGTCTCGCGGAAAAACTCGAGCTCGACAAAGGTGCGCGCAAGGTCCCAGGACCCGAGCTTGGAGCACAGGCGGAAGACGTGCAGCTTGGCGCCGCCTGTCGCGGCGCGCTGGCTGCAGCTCCACTCGGCGTGCTTGGTCAGCTTCGGCGAGCCCAGCGCCGAGAACATCCGTGCTTCGGAAATATTTTTTGCCTTGACACATCAATCCGATACAAACGTCAAGTTGAGAAACCGTCGCATCCGGATACCAGACGTGATGGGCATCACTGCAGCAACACCTTGTCCCTGTCGGACGGGGTCATGGGTCCACCAGCTATAGGTAGCTCACCTCACGCAGCGCCCAATGACATCGATAGCTTCTCTTGAAGAAGGCGCCGTCCATCAATGCGCCATGGGCAGACTCGAATCATTTCCACGTGGCAGCGTGACGCGGCAGGTCTTCTTCGTTCGGACTTTGCTGAGATGGTGGCTGCTAGTCGATGGCTTAGAGCGTCAAAAGAGCAGGCTAGAGAAATGACACGATACAGAACTCAGGGATGTGGTGGACTCATTCCACAAAGAGCAAAAGGTGCTGTACCTGATGGCCAACGTAGGGCAAAATGGCATCCATCATAGCAAGAGACGTTTGCTTCATCGCAGCACGTGCGTGGCCTACGGCTGGCCGAACGCGCTCGAGGTGGTACTGGCACTCTGGTTCTGTGGTGACAAGGCTTGGCGTGGGTTGGCGAGAACGGCTTCGGAAGCAGAGTGTGAATGGCTTGACATGTGAGCTAACGCTTCGAGCTTCGAAACGAACGACCCGATTGTGTTGCGCCCACTCGGTGGAGCGAACGAGGATGCATGACCCTTGCATGTGCACACGACACCATTTCGCATCGCCCAGTCCGTCCATCCAGGATTGCAAACGCCACGTTTCGCGCTTTCTCACAACCCACAAATGGACAAGTATGGCACGTGTCATTGTGCCACCAGCTTGGCTTTGGTAGCTCCCGAGGACGTGTAGACAGGCTAGACGGTTCAAGAGAAAACATCGAGAAAGAAAAGTGGCACGAGCGGCGCAGAACCACTCTAGCAAAAGCATGTCCACACCACCTCGACGAGATACCGGTACACACGCCGCGTAGCAACTGCAAGTTGACGCTTTGAGTCTCAGGTGCAGAATCGTGGACGTGCACAGACACAGATTATTCTGGCGCGCTCGTACCACTATTGCTTCGTCGACGGCCGAGCAGATTAAGGGAGGACGCTATGGGCTGCCAAAAGCTTGTTTTGCTTTCTTGCTCTACTGTTCTTCGCGTCCCGTCGCACCTCTTTCTCTTCTTGGAACGAGGCCGACAACGCACTCTCCTAGGCGACGAAGCAACCGATATGAACGAGCGCGCACTCATGAACTACTTGCTATCGGTGGCTCTGGATAGTTGGAAAGGATACAACCCGCACAGTGCAATTGTAGCAACACGGGTCGCAAGAAATCCAGGCGCGATCGTCATCCGGAAAATTTGAAAAATGAAAAAAATCCAATTCCGCGGATCAAATCCTACGGTGCGGCTGTGTCCAGCCATGTGTGACTCTATCTGTCATGTCCACCCTTGATGTCCACAAGACCCGTAGTACGATGCGAGCACCTTTTGCACCTTCCAGGCGCCTTCCATGTCCCCCACCTGCTCCCTATTGTGTTTGGTTGTGGATCTTGGGTGCCACCGATCCTCACTTTTCCTTTTGCTAATACAACATCACCAACACTCGATTCAAAATGGCGCGCCGCGCGGTCTGGACGTACACCCTTCGCCAGTGCGAAGGCGACGAAGCGACGAAGCTCTACTGCTTTGAGCTGACGGTCGGCGACGTCTCGTGGTCCGTCCTCAAGTCGATTCAAGACCTCAAGTACCTTCGTCAAACGCTCGCGACGATGTACCACAACGAAGTCCTCAACGCCAACGCAGAGGCGTACTGGACGTTGGAGCTTCGGAAACTCCTCCAGCTGCCAGTCCCATCCGCCGGGTGGCTGCCGTGGGCCCCAAAGAAGATGGAGCGCGCGATGACAACCCTCCTCTGCTTTTACGAAGACGCGATGGCCGACACAACACAACCGAGCTTCCTCTTGCATGTCCTTAAGGGCCTTTTGCGTGTCTTTCTTGGCATGCCATGCCACCCGGAGCGCTACTCGATCCGGGCCTCGTCCATGGCGTGTCCTGTGCTGGCGGCACCCAAAATCCTCGCTTAGCCACGCAAGGACGACTATAACTTATATATAAAATGAAGATTTGACACACGCGAGACTCACGGCCTTTAGAGGGAGCGATGTGTTGCCAAGCTCGTTGGTACATGCATGGAAGGCAGGATGCAAAATGCTGAAGCGTCATAGTGACATGGGATGCTTGTTTACGATGGCATCGTGTGGCTTTTTGAGCCACAGCGCAGCACGAGGCCGATACAAATTTGTACAAACACGGTGGATAATCGGGTTTTGAAGTGCCGACCAAAAGTTTTACTGGTACCGGAGAATTTGGTACATGGCAGGAATCCCTTCGGGGATCATCCGTAAAAATTGGAACGATACAGAGAAGATTAGCATGGCCCCTGCGCAAGGATGACACGCATAAATCGAGAAGTATCGCACTTTTTAACTTTTGGATTCCCTTATTTCTTTAGGATTGCTTTTGTTGCTGGTGGATATCACACACAACAGCAGCTTTCAATGCCATCGCTGTCGGCCAAGTACCTGTCACGGGAAGTAGCATGCCATGATCGATCGTCCCTTCATGCCCCCACCCCATCGCCTCCGTCTCTGGCGCCGACATTGGTGCACACTGAAATCTGGGTCTAATGTCCCTAAGACACTATTTACCATCGTCATCGTCGATATCAATTAGATGCGTTAACAGTAAGTAAGATGCACGCTCGCGCGACTTCGGTGCGGCCACCGACTTCGCTGCTGCTGCGGATGAATTCGTGGGAGAGTGCCATCGCAGCGTTGCCTCTCATTGGTCTATTTTCAACCAATCGCTGGCATTATAGACTTTCCACCAATGGCCTGCCGCGCTGCCTCATCCTGCACCAATCAGAAGGAGGCGTGGAACACTGGAGCACACCAAGACGGTCAACGTAGCTTGAGAGACTCGAATCTGCCGCACGCACCATGGTTGGCAGGACGACGACGACGACGCGCACGTGGCTCATGCACATGGCGTACTAGGGTAAGAAGAAGGCGTTTATCAACAAGAAGGAAGCGCAGCACTTCCACGTCGTGCATCGCTCGCAGCGCGATCCGCTCATCAACGACCCCAGCGCGTCGAAGTTTGTGCTGCTCTCGGCCACGGTAGGCGAGGTAGCAATGCACTCCAGCGCGCTCACGCTCCTTAATGCTAGCAAGCGCAAGAGTACGATGGCTCGCAGGCGCCGTACGACTCGGGCGATGACGACGACGACGATGATATGCCCGACCTGGTCGCGTCAGCGGTAGGCCATCGCCGCGCGCCGCGTTGTCTCACGCTTTGCGTAGCCGACCAAGCAAGTGCGCTTCGGGAACGTCGTCGCACAGGACCTTGTGAACGAGCTCGGTATGGTCAACGATGGCTACGACTACACCAAGCACATGCGGGAGATTGGCCACGGCCAGTTTTACTCGGCCGGTGGCACGTACGACGAAGGGTATGAGGCACCTCTCGCTGTTCCATGGAGTCGACTCATCGCTCTCTATAGCGCGGGTCTTCTCTCCAAGCGTGTCGTCTTGCCCGACGACGTCCTTGCGTCCAACACGGTCGAATCGGAGCGCATGCTCGAGGCGATCACGCTCACGGAAGACGTCATGGACGAGGATCTTCGCGAAGCGCTGACCAACGAAGACGCGTTCGAAGAGCTCAACGATGACTTTATGCTCCAGGCTGCCGAGGACAATGGCGAGGACGATGGCGCCGCCGGTACGTCTTCATGCATCCACTTGTGATATAGCCTCATGGGTATGATGTAGATGGTTTTGACTACGAGGCGCACATCGCCAAGCTCATGGCGGCCGCCGACGGCATTCCCAAGTACCGCGGCAACCTTAGCGACGACGAAGACGACGACGAGTTGGATTCAGACGCCGAGGAAGAATTTAGCGATGCGGACGACGAGGATGCGTATGGCGAGAGCAAAGACGACGCGCAGCGGGCGCTCGATGAGGCGTTTGAGAAGCTCATGGAAGAGGAGTACGACGACGAGGAGATTGGCGAACTCGATGAAGAGGAGACGCGCGGCGAGCTGCTTCTCGAAGGCGCGCTGCTCGAGTCGATCGTCCAGGACTATGTCCATCTGCAAGAAGAGGTCATGCAGACCGAAGGCCGCATCGGTAACCCGCTCCGCACCGGCAACCGCCTCCAGGAAGTGCTTGCCGAGTGCGCGGCGGAGGATGCCTTGTACGAGAGCGAAGAGGAGGCCGAGCCTGAGTTGGCCAACATGGACGACATTGCGCACACCAACCCGTACTTGGCGCCGCGTGTCGAGGACCAGGTACCTTTTTGTCATTCTTGTTGATTTTGGTTGATTTTTGTTGATTTTTTTGTATTTTGCAGTGGGACTGCGAAACCATCGTCAGCACGTACTCGAACCTGGACAACCACCCGACACTGCTGCGCGAGCCGCGCCGTGAGAACCCGAAGAAGAAGAAGAAGCACGCGAACCACATTATCCTCTCGTCCAAGACGGGCATGCCCCTCAACATCACGCCCATCTCGGAAGAGGCCGAGGTACTGGCTGCCATGTTTTTTTGAAACATTGATACAAATCAAATGGGTAGAGCCAACACGACGATGCGGTGAGCTACGTGGGCTCGGTCGTGCCGCAGCTCGTGCGCACCCGCCAAGAAACCAAGGAAGAAAAGAAGGAGCGCAAGCTGGCCGCCAAGGCGCACAAGCAGGAGCGGCGAACCGACAAGAAGGAGACCAAGAACATCTTCAAGGACGAGAAGATTCGCCAGCTCAACCAGCACGGGCCCCGCGCCGGCAGTGTCTCGTTCTTCAAGTATTAAACCACAACACGCTCTGTTTCATATCTACTCGGTCGCCGTGGCGGCGTCGTGCTCGTTGAAGCGGTTAGACTGTACAGAAATTGGAGCACCGAACATTGCAGATCAGGTCGAGAGTGCAAGCCGTCGGGTGTGATTCAAACGAAACTGCCCGCATCCGCATCAGAAAAATCGGATGCCAACCGTGCTCATACAGTGCAGAACCGACGCCGCACGACTCGTGGCGGTGGCGGGGGGGCCGGGAGGCGACGGGACTTCGTAGAGGCAGGGTAACCACGCCCGCGGGGCGAAAGCACGGGAGGGCCAGCGATCTTGTTGTTGGCCGCTGGGGCCTTGAATCGTCGAGGGGCATTGGGTGCCGAGTGGCGCGACCACCGACCGCTGCCAGCGACCAGCACTTGCACAGCAATGGACGTAAGACACAGAGCGCACGGCACGCCGTCTAAGGCATCAGGTGCCCTTACCCAAATCCAGCCAAACATGGAGAGCAACAATGACAAGAATATCCACACTCGAACCGCCTACCAAAAACGACACTGCCTTGAACGCTAAGAGAACCGAGTCTGCAATTCGCCTCGAACACCATGCAAGCTCTTTGCGCTGCGACGATGGCGCTCATGCTGGCGACGTCCGCGACCGCTGCGTGGTGCACGACAGACCAAGACACGGAGATCACGAATTTCTTGGCGGCCCACGTCTCGACCTCGTGCAATGCGAGCAGGCCCAGCTGGCGAAGCACGATGACGTTCGCGGATGGACTCGACTACGATCAGTACCTCATGTGCCGGCCGCCGTGCAAAGCCGACCTGCAGAGCCTATCGAGCAGCATTCCAGAGTGCGCCGATGACGCCGGAACATTCGCCAAGGTCGCGCAACAAAATCAGCTGTGCATCGACATGACGCGTCCAACGACCAACGGCGGTGCGTGCACGACGGCTGACGCGATCTTATCCTACGGATTGCAGTACGAAGAACCGATGTGGCTCAACTGCTCCAGTGTCAAAGACGCAAACTTGTTTGGACTTCGAGCTTACACAACTGAAATAGTCAAGGCGCTGTGTGCGTCCACCACCTGCTCAGCCTTCATCCACGCGATGGCCAAGTTGATGCCCAACTGCGTCGACAAGTACGGGGACAATACGATGGACGAATTCCGACATCGGTTTGGGTGCACGCCTGCAGCTGTCGGGGCCAATTGCTCCATGGTCGATATGGCCGTCAAGCACGATGCATATAATGCGCACCTTTGGTACAACTGCTCGAGCTTTCTCAACGCTTCTTATCTTGCGACGTTCAGTGACCTCGAGTACAGTCTTTCTGTCATCAAGACACCGGAAGACGCGCCATCGGGCTTTTGCACGTCGGCCTGCCCAGCAAACTACTTGTCGATCAAAAAGACGCTTCCATCCTGCACCTATATCTATGGTGGTGAGATGTGGTCCGACCCAAGTCCTCTCTATACCATCTGCCCCAGCCTGAAGTCAGCGCCGTCATCCGCTCCGACACCCGCTCCGACACGCGCTCCGATACGCACTCCGACACGCGCTCCGACACCAGCACCAACGCCCGCTCCAGCTCTGCTCTGCCCTCTTCGCGGCTCGTACCGTGCGACGGGGATGCGCATGGACCTTGCCAACTCTGGGGATTTCACCGAGTCGCACGACGGCAGTGGCAGCACGTGCTCGACAACGGGAACGTATGCGGTCTCGGGTCCAATGGCAACGTTCACCGTGTCGACCGTCTCGGGTGTCTGCAGCAGCGCCTTTACGCCCAACGCAAAGCTCTCGGTGCCCATTTCGTTCTCCACCGACTGCAACCAACTCACACTCAGCTACACGGGCACACCGTCGACGCTGCAGCGAGCGTCCAACGCAGAGACTGCGGCCACGAGTGCGATGCTGCTTCTTGGTGTTTCCCTCGCGTGGGGTACGCTCTAAACGGCCGAAGGGATGGCTCTGCATAGTTGAGTATCATATTTAAGACTGAAAAATACACTGGATTTGCACGTTAAACTTCGCGTTCGATTCCACGAGGACTCACACGAGAACTCACTTTCGCATGTCTGCGCATTCAGTTTACTCGTTACACTACGCACATCGCGATATTAGCAAGATACACTCGGAGACAACAATCATGCCGCCATCGAATCGATCTAACTATCGATATATTCAACCATCTATCCATCTTCCCATCTATCCATCTATCTACGGGTATCTCGC